CGTTAATTTTAGTCCCCGTACCCTGTAGAATCTTTGTTTATGGTCCGATTTGAAAATTTCGGCCACCACTGTGTTCATCTTATCGAGAAGCAGTAGCACATTCGAAAAAATTCGAGGTCAAGGTCATAGGTCAAGGTCAAGGTCACTTTAAACGTTAATTTTAGTCCCCGTACCCTGTAGAATCTTTGTTTATGGTCCGATTTGAAAATTTCGGCCACCACTGTGTTCGTCTCATCGAGAAGCAGTAGCACATTTGAAAAAATCCGAGGTCAAGGTCATAGGTCAAGGTCAAGGCCACTTTAAACGTTAATTTTAGTCCCCGTACCCTGTAGAATCTTTGTTTATGGTCCGATTTGAAAATTTCGGCCACCACTGTGTTCGTCTCATCGAGAAGCAGTAGCCCATTGGAAAAAATCCGAGGTCAAGGTCATAGGTCAAGGTCAAGGTCACTTTAAACGTTAATTTTAGTCCCCGTACCCTGTAGATTCTTTGTTTATGGTCCGATTTGAAAATTTCGGCCACCACTGTGTTCGTCTCATCGAGAAGCAGTAGCACATTCGAAAAAATCCGAGGTCAAGGTCATAGGTCAAGGTCAAGGTCACTTTAAACGTTAAAATTCGGATTCAAATTCGAGTAATGATTTCGCTCAAAATTGGCATACAGATAGCCCATGGCACGCTGAGTTCGAAAATGGTGACCTTTTTTTCCTAGGTCAAACTGTTTGACCTTGAGACGTCAAAATACTGCGTACCCTGTAGAATCTTTGTTTATGGTCCGATTTTAAAAATTCGACCACCAGTGTGTTCGTCTCATCGAGAAGAAGTAGCACATTCAAAAAAATCCGAGGTCAAGGTCATAGGTCAAGGTCAAGGTCACTTTAAAAATCGCCGTACCCTATAAAATCTTCATTTTTGGAGCTATCGGAAAATTTTGGCCACCACTGTGTTCGTCTCATTGAGAAGCAGTAGCACATTCGAAAAAATCCGAGGTCAAGGTCATAGGTCAAGGTCAAGGTCACTTTAAACGTTAATTTTAGTCCCCGTACCCTGTAGAATCTTTGTTTATGGTCCGATTTAAAAATTTCGGCCACCACTGTGTTCGTCTCATCGAGGAGCAGTAGCACATTCGAAAAAAATCCGAGGACAAGGTCATAGGTCAAGGTCAAGGTCACTTTAAACGTTAATTTTAGTCTCCGTACCCTGTAGAATCTTTGTTTATGGTCCGATTTTAAAATTTCGGCCACCACTGTGTTCGTCTCATCGAGAAGCAGTAGCATATTTGAAAAAATCCGAGGTCAAGGTCATAGGTCAAGGTCAAGGTCACTTTAAACGTTAATTTTAGTCCCCGTACCCTGTAGAATCTTTGTTTATGGTCTGATTAGAAAATTTCGGCCACCACTGTGTTCGTCTCATCGAGAAGCAGTAGCACATTCGAAAAAAATCCGAGGTCAAGGTCATAGGTCAAGGTCAAGGTCACTTTAAACGTTAATTTTAGTCCCCGTACCCTGTAGAATCTTTGTTTATTGTCCGATTTGAAAATTTCGGCCACCACTGTGTTCGTCTCATCGAGAAGCAGTAGCACATTCGAAAAAATCCTAGGTCAAGGTCATAGGTCAAGGTCAAGGTCACTTTAAACGTTAATTTTAGTCCCCGTACCCTGTAGAATCTTTGTTTATGGTCCAATTTGAAAATTTCGGCCACCACTGTGTTCGTCTCATCGAGAAGCAGTAGCACATTCGAAAAAATCCGAGGTCAAGGTCATAGGTCAAGGTCAAGGTCACTTTAAACGTTAATTTTAGTCCCCGTACCCTATAAAATCTTCATTTTTGGAGCTATCGGAAAATTTCGGCCACCACTGTGTTCGTCTCATCGAGAAGCAGTAGCACATTCGAAAAAATCCGAGGTCAAGGTCATTTTTTCGAATGTGCTACTGCTTCTCGATGAGACGAACACAGTGGTGGCCGAAATTTTCAAATCGGACCATAAACAAAGATTCTACAGGGTACGGGGACTAAAATCAACGTTTAAAGTGACTTTGACCTTGACCTATGACCTTGACCTCGGATTTTTTCGAATGTGCTACTGCTTCTCGATGAGACGAACACAGTGGTGGCCGAAATTTTCAAATCGGACCATAAACAAAGATTCTACAGAGTACGGGGACTAAAATTAACGTTTAAAGTGACCTTGACCTTGACCTATGACCTTGACCTCGGATTTTTTTTCGAATGTGCTACTGCTTCTCGATGAGACGAACACAGTGGTGGCCGAAATTTTCAAATCGGACCATAAACAAAGATTCTACAGGGTACGGGGACTAAAATTAACGTTTAAAGCGACCTTGACCTTGACCTATGACCTTGACCTCGGATTTTTTTGAATGTGCTACTGCTTCTCGATGAGACAAACACAGTGGTGGCCGAAATTTTCCGATAGCTCCAAAAATGAAGATTTTATAGGGTACGGGGACTAAAATTAACGTTTAAAGTGACCTTGACCTTGACCTATGACCTTGACCTCGGATTTTTTCAAATGTGCTACTGCTTCTCGATGAGACAAACACAGTGGTGGCCGAAATTTTCCGATAGCTCCAAAAATGAAGATTTTATAGGGTACGGGGACTAAAATTAACGTTTAAAGTGACCTTGACCTTGACCTATGACCTTGACCTCGGATTTTTTCAAATGTGCTACTGCTTCTCGATGAGACGAACACAGTGGTGGCCGAAATTTTCAAATCGGACCATAAACAAAGATTCTACAGGGTACGGGGACTAAAATTAACGTTTAAAGTGACCTTGACCTTGACCTATGACCTTGACCTCGGATTTTTTCAAATGTGCTACTGCTTCTCGATGAGACGAACACAGTGGTGGCCGAAATTTTTAAATCGGACCATAAACAAAGATTCTACAGGGTACGGGGACTAAAATTAACGTTTAAAGTGACCTTGACCTTGACCTATGACCTTGACCTCGGATTTTTTCCAATGTGCTACTGCTTCTCGATGAGACGAACACAGTGGTGGCCGAAATTTTCAAATCGGACCATAAACAAAGATTCTACAGGGTACGGGGACTAAAATTAACGTTTAAAGTGACCTTGACCTTGACCTATGACCTTGACCTCGGATTTTTTCGAATATGCTACTGCTTCTCGATGAGACGAACACAGTGGTGGCCGAAATTTTCAAATCGGACCATAAACAAAGATTCTACAGGGTACGGGGACTAAAATTAACGTTTAAAGTGACCTTGACCTTGACCTATGACCTTGACCTCGGATTTTTTCAAATGTGCTACTGGTTCTCGATGAGACGAACACAGTGGTGGCCGAAATTTTCAAATCGGACCATAAAGAAAGATTCTACAGGGTACGGGGACTAAAATTAACGTTTAAAGTGACCTTGACCTTGACCTATGACCTTGACCTCGGATTTTTTCAAATGTGCTACTGCTTCTCGATGAGACGAACACAGTGGTGGTCGAAATTTTCAAATCGGACCATAAACAAAGATTCTACAGGGCACGGGGACTAAAATTAACGTTTAAAGTGACCTTGACCTTGACCTATGACCTTGACCTCGGATTTTTTCAAATGTGCTACTGCTTCTCGATGAGACGAACACATTGGTGGCCGAAATTTTCAAATCGGACCATAAACAAAGATTCTACAGGGTACGGGGACTAAAATTAACGTTTAAAGTGACCTTGACCTTGACCTATGACCTTGACCTCGGATGTTTTCGAATGTGCTACTGCTTCTCGATCAGACGAACACATTGTTGGCCGAAATTTTCAAATCGGACCATAAACAAAGATTCTACAGGGTACGGGGACTAAAATTAACGTTTAAAGTGACCTTGACCTTGACCTATGACCTTGACCTCGGATTTTTTTTAATGTGCTACTGCTTCTCGATGAGACGAACACAGTGGTGGCCGAAATTTTCCGATAGCTCCAAAAATGAAGATTTTATAGGGTACGGGGACTAAAATTAACGTTTAAAGTGACCTTGACCTTGACCTATGACCTTGACCTCGGATTTTTTCGAATGTGCTACTGCTTCTCGATGAGACGAACACAGTGGTGACCGAAATTTTCAAATCGGACCATAAACAAAGATTCTACAGGGTACGGGGACTAAAATTAACGTTTAAAGTGACCTTGACCTTGACCTATGACCTTGACCTAGGATTTTTTCAAATGTGCTACTGTTTCTCGATGAGACGAACACAGTGGTGGCCGAAATTTTCCGATAGCTCCAAAAATGAAGATTTTATAGGGTACGGCGATTTTTAAAGTGACCTTGACCTTGACCTATGACCTTGACCTCGGATTTTCTTAAATGTGCTACTGCTTCTCGATGAGACAAACACACTGGTGGTCGAATTTTTCAAATCGGACCATAAACAAAGATTCTACAGGGTACGCAGTATTTTGATCTCTCAAGGTCAAACGGTTTGACCTAGGAAAAAAAGGTCACCATTTTCGAACTCAGCGTGCCATGGGCTATCTGTATGCCAATTTTGAGCGAAATCATTACTCGAATTTGAATCCGAATACGAATACGACGCTAACTTTATGGACATCGCCTATTCAATATACCCTGGGCGTAGCGCTGAGCGCACTGTGTACATACATACATACAGTAGGTCTACAAAGTAAGTTCTCTCCGGTTGCGGCCTGCGGGCAGGTGGGGCCTGAGTAGGGTTCAACCGATTACTGCCCACTGGTGACCCGCTGACGGCGGGGACTTATTTTGTAGACCTACTGTATCGGCGTGCCAAAAAAAGCTAGGCCAGATATGGGCCTACGGTCCATCCGTTTTTTTTTTCTTTCTTTTCTAGTTGGCTTTTTATTGTCATGCAGAACTAGGTACATAACTCAAACTAGTGACCGATTTCGTTCGTCGCTAGGCGTAACCAAGACCCTAAAACAACAAGGCGTAACAACCAGTTCCAATGATGGTAATCGGGTACATCGGCTATCGAAGCGGTGTCTCACGGCCCTGCCCTGACACCCAGCCAGGTGCCGCCCTGCTCCCTCATTACGCCTGCTCCAGGTACGAAGTGGGGTCGCGCGGAGCCGGAACGGAGGCAGAGCTCCAGCTGGCAGCTGTTCAGGAGCTCCACCAGCGCAAGCTTCAGCTCTAGCAGTGCTAGCCGAGTGCCTGGACAGCCACGTGGCCCAAGGCCGAACGGCAACCAGGCGGCAGCCGGCCGTCCCCACCGTTCCGACTCGGCAAACCGATTCGGGTCGAACAGGTCGGGTTCCGGATACAGCGCTGGGTCGTGATGAATACCTAGCACCGGGATGTACACACTGCCGTGCGCCGGCAAGCTGAGGCCGCCCGGGAACCGGTACGGCGCGGTGGCGCAGCGTGCCAGCTGCGGCGTGGCCGCCGGGTACATCCTGAGTGTTACGTGATGCACGTAATATGGCAGTGTTTTAGTGTGTGATTACTTGCCTGTCACAGATGCGCCAAAAGTGTAACGTTTGGTTCCCGCTCGAATCTTTGTTTTTGTCTTGATCTCCCCGCTATGCTAAATGCTCTGAGATAATAGAATTCGCTGTTGAAGTCCACGCCTCTTTCTCGGTACTGAGAGCCCGAGAACGATACATGGTGGCAGCTGTGAGACCTTAGTAGCCTATGTGGTTCTTTAAACACTGTCTTGAATGTGTTTTGAGATAATCTTTCCACCTGGAGAAACGCACAAGGTACTCTCAAGATTTTGAGGCAATCTCGGCGCACACCAAGCAGTAGGTACAAGCCAAGACAACATGTCTAATGAAGGAAATAACCACACTGTGGCCATTCCTGGCATCCGACCACCCCAGCCATTCTCAGTGGGGGGAAATGCTGCTGAAAATTGGAAGCTGTTCTCTCAAAGATGGTCATCGTACACCATTCTTTCTGGCTTTGAGAATCTCGAAAGAAGAGTACAGGTTGCACTCCTCCTCAACCTGCTGGCTGACGACGCCCTCAAAGTGTACAATGGGTTTCAGTTTGACACCCCTGAAGAGGAGCGTACTGCAGCAGAGATCATGGAGAAGATGGAAAAGTTCTGCGTCGGGGAAGTGAACCAAACCTATGAGAGGTTTATCTTCAACAGCAGAAAGCAAGCAGAAGGTGAGCCAGTAGATGCTTTTATATCTGATCTGAGAGACCTGGTAAAGACTTGTGGGTTCTGCAATGACTGTCTGCCTGCAATGATCATGGACAGAATCGTCCTTGGTGTTAACGACTCAAAGGTTCAGACTGAACTGCTGAAGTGTCGTGATCTCACTCTAGAGCAGTGCATAGACATCTGCAAAGCTTCAGAGAGTGCTTTGGCCCAAAACCGAGCCATGCGGCCAAATGAGCAGATTCACAAAGTGACTACTGAAAAAAGGAAAGGTTTCAACCAGAAGAAACAGATGAGGCATCCAGGAGACGTGAGGACCTGCAAGTTCTGTGGCGAAAGTCACAAAATGAAGAAGGAACTTTGCCCAGCATATGGAAAAACATGTAAGAAATGTGGCCTCAAAAACCACTCTGCCTCACAATGCTTCACTCCGCAGCACAGACAGAGAGTGCATCATGTCCAAGACGATGAAGAGCCTGAGTGGGTCAACGTCCTGGCCGTGTCGGATCAGAAGAAGGAAGTGAAGTGTGCCATGCTACTGGACGATGAAGAAGTCCACTTCCAGGTGGACACTGGATCCAGTGTCAACCTGCTGCCTAAGAGGTATGCCACAGAGCTGACACCAACAAACAAGATAATCCGCACCTGGAACCAGGGCGACTTCAAACCTGAAGGTACGTGCCGCAGGACGGTGAGGAACCCCCGAAATGGCCGTCTGTACTCAGTAGAGTTCCTAGTGTATGAAGGAAACCTGACTCCCCTGCTAGGACTCCGAGCTAGTCAGCAGATGAAACTGATCAATGTCCAGACAGATAACTTTGTAGAAGTACACAACCTCAATGTGGAAGACAACTACAAAGATGTCATGGATGGAGGACTGGGGAAGCTGGAAGGCGAGCACCATCTCAAGGTCAGTGAGGAGGCAAAGCCTGTGATAATGCCCACAAGGCGGGTCCCCATCTCGGTGCGGCCCAAGCTGAAAGAAGAACTGGACCTGATGGAGAAGCAGGAAGTGCTGGCGAAGGTCGAAGAACCAACCCCATGGGTAAGCCAGATGGCAATCACTCACAAAAAGGATGGGAGCCTAAGAGTCTGCATTGACCCACAGGAGCTGAACAAAGCCCTGCAGCGAGAACACACGACGCTGCCGATCCTAGACGACACACTCCACGAGTTGGGCCAGTCTCGAGTCTTCACAAAGATGGACCTGAAGTCAGGATATTGGCATGTGTGCCTGGACAAGGAGTCCAGCATGCTGACCACGTTCCAGACCTGCTACGGCAGGTACAGATGGCTCCGCCTACCCTTCGGTCTCTCTGTGTCTGCCGAAATCTTCCAAAAGAAGCTCCAACAGGCTCTGGAAGGACTTGAAGGTGTACTGTGCGTAGCAGATGACGTCATCATCCACGGACGCAACATGAAGGAGCACGACGACAGGCTGAGCAAGTTCCTGGAGAGGTGTCGAGAGAAGAAAATCAAGCTCAACAAGGAGAAGAGCAAGCTCCGAGAGAAGTCCATGGTGTTCATGGGGCACCTGATCTCCGAAGAAGGCCTCCAGTCAGATCCGGAAAAGGTGAAGGCCATCACTACCTATCCTGTCCCAGAAAACGTCACAGAGCTCCGGAGATTCCTGGGGATGACAAACTACCTGGCTCGTTACCTGCCTCATGTGACCGAGGTGATCCACCCCCTCCAGAACCTGTTGAGGAAGGACGTGCCGTGGACCTGGAGCGAGAACCAAAAGAAGGCGTTCCAGGACGTGAAGAAAATGATTGAGGCTGACGTCAAGCTGGCGTTCTACGACCCCCAGAAGGACCTCGTCCTGGAGAACGACGCGTCCGAGTACGGGCTAGGAGCCGTTATGATGCAAGATGGCAGACCAGTGGCGTTCGCTAGTCGCTCTCTGACTCCTGCTGAGCGGAACTACGCCCAGATCGAGAAGGAGATGCTGGCAGTGAAGTACGGCCTGGAGAAGTTCCACCACTTCACCTACGGTCGCCACGTCACTGTGGTCACCGACCACAAGCCGCTGGACAGCATCAAGAAAAAGCCGCTATCCAAGGCCCCAAGAAGACTGCAGAACATGCTACTGAACACTCAGAAGTACAACTACTCCCTAGTGTTCAAGCCGGGATCTGCGATCCCTGCGGCCGACGCTATGTCTCGCGCGCCACCGCCAGAAACGCACGAAGGAGAGGACGCAGAAGTGCACGCTGTGTATGCAGCGCCCTTCAGGCGAGAGCGTTTGGACGACATCCGAAAGGCAACCGAGCAGGACCAAACTCTACAAGAGCTAACGAAAACCATCGGAGCTGGATGGCCGTCTGAGAAAACATGTCTTCTGGATAGTGTAAAGCCATTCTACAACTATCGAGACGAGCTGTCAGTGCACGACGGTATCGTTGTAAGAGGAGACAGGGTGATCATCCCGAAGACGATGAGGAAGGAAATGCTCCTCAAGCTCCATGCGGGTCACTCTGGCATAAACTCCTGCCTGAGAAGAGCACGAGATCTGATCTTCTGGCCAGGCATGTCAAGTGACATCCGGGAGTACCTCGCGTCATGCGACACCTGCGCCGAAACTCCCATGAAGCAGGGGCCTGAGCCTGTGTACGCCCACGAAGTGCCTGACCGACCATGGGAAAAGGTCGGGACTGACCTCTTCACTATTGAAGGCCGTGACTACCTCGTCACTGTAGACTACTTCAGTCACTTTGTCGAGGTAGACTACCTGAAAGAAACAACCTCACAGGCGGTGGTCACCAAACTGAAGGCACAGTTTGCTCGTCATGGCATACCAGATGTGCTGGTAAGCGACAACGGCCCGCAATTCTCCAGTTATCACTTCGCGCAGTTCGCCAAGGCCTGGCAATTCGAACACCAGACGTCAAGTCCGGGCAACAGTAAAGGGAATGGAGCTGCTGAAGCCGCTGTCAAGACAGTCAAGCGAATGATGAAGAGGAGCAGAGCCGCAGGAGAGGACCCGTACCTGGGTCTCCTGAACCTCAGGAATACCCCACAAGAAGGGATGGACACGAGCCCGGCACAGCGTCTGATGAGCCGACGGACAAGGACAGGAGTGCCAACGTCTAAAGCACTTCTCCAGCCCAAGCAGAACATCAACCAGAAACAGCGACTGGAAGCCAGGAAAGCTGCCGCAAACGACAGGCACACCGGCAGGCGAGAACTGCGACCCCTACAAGTGGGGGAACCGGTCCGAATGCAGCCAATCGACGGCAGAAACTCGTGGAAGAAGGCTGTCGTGACTAGCATGCTCAAGCCGAGGAGCTATGAAGTAGAAAGTGAAGACGGTGTCATCTACCGTCGAAACCGTCAGTTCCTACGAGCTACGCAGCCGACGACGCCACAGCAGCGCCACACGACAGCCCAGGCAGCAACAAGGAACGGGGCGGAACATCAGCCTACTCCGACGCGAGCCACCACGAGCGAGCAACCGGCCGCGCATTCCGAGCCAGTTGGAGAGAGCGCTGTCGCCTCCAACTGCACCAGGTCAGGGCGACGTGTCCGTCCTCCTCTCAAGCTGAACCTGTAGTGGTTCAAACTTAAAGGAGAGGGATGTTACGTGATGCACGTAATATGGCAGTGTTTTAGTGTGTGATTACTTGCCTGTCACAGATGCGCCAAAAGTGTAACGTTTGGTTCCCGCTCGAATCTTTGTTTTTGTCTTGATCTCCCCGCTATGCTAAATGCTCTGAGATAATAGAATTCGCTGTTGAAGTCCACGCCTCTTTCTCGGTACTGAGAGCCCGAGAACGATACACTGAGTACCTCACGTACCACCTGGTCCAGATACGACAGCTGGGACACCAGCTCGAGCGCGTCAGATGCGCCTTCGTTTCGGTGCTGCTGCAGCTCGCGGCGGAGGCGCTCCTGGACGGCCGGATGGTGGGCCAGACAGCGCGCGCTCCAGGCCAGCGCGGCTGCCGTGTTGCCGTAGCCGCCGAGGAACAGCATGGCGCCCTGGGCGGCCAGCTGGCGGTCCGAGAGCGGCTCGCCGGCGCGCGAGAGATGCTCCATCAGCAGCTGCAGCGCGTCCTCGCACCGCACGGCTCCCGCTGCGCGTCGCCGCGCCGCTGTATCCAGCGTCAGCTGCGCGAAGAAGGCGATCGCTTCGTCCGCTCGCGATGTCGCAGAGGGCAGCCACCGAGCGAGGCCCAGCCGACTGGCCGCCGTCCGCAGCAGCACCGTCCAGGGTGCCGGCCGCCACACCAGGTCACGCGCCCGGGTCACCAGCTCGCTGTCGGGCTGCTCTATGGCGCCAGTCTCGAGTCCAAATGACACAGCGGAGATACAGTCCAGAGTGTATCGCTGAAACAGGGCCTCGACCTCGATACCCTGTTCACCACCAGCAGCCCCCTCCCGGAGCGCCTGGGCAGCCAGCCTCCGAGCCCTGTCTTGAAGGAGCGGAGCGGCGCGCCGCATCCTGGCCGCCGAGAAGGCAGGTGTCAGTGTGTCTCGCAGAGGTCGCCACTCCTCCGCCGGCAGGTTCATCATCATGTTGGAGAGCGTGGTGGTGCGCGGGGCCGCCGGCCGTCGGTCGCTGAAGCTGCCAAAGTCGGCCGTCATGACGCGGTGCACCAGGCCGAGGTCGGAGACGGTGACTGCCGGCCCGGCGGCGTCCAGGTGCGCCTGCACACCGCCGGCGGCGCGCACCTCGGCGTACTCGCGCCGCAGCGCCGCCGGGTAGCTGCCCAGCAGCGCCGCTGCGCTGCGCGCACCCAGCGGGAAGTGGTCCCGGCGGTGGCGCACCCCCAGCCGCCGCCAGTGGTTTGGCCGGCGGGCAGATAGCAGCAGCAGCAGCAGCAGCAGCAGTGGCAGGAGCAGCGCCACCACCAGAGTGACGAACACGCCGGCAGTGAACCAGCGCCACAGACACGACACCATGACGGGAGTCGTCAGTCCCACTGCGAGAAACACTGACTTGAACGGTACCGGGATCGCTGCTCCCACCACTTTAGCGACTCCACGATCTCTTCTGACATCCTCGCGGCTTCCCGCAAGGCCCACTTGAAGCCGAGCTAGGCCGATGCTGATAGCTGCATTGATATTGGTTCAAGCGAAGGCGTTATCAGTTTCAAAGTCAATTGGTGCCTGTATGATGTATATAGTAAGTACCTTGAGGCCCATGCGGCGGTATCGGGCTGTCCAATGTCCATCAAACACCGAGCTGTGATAGCCCTGCTTGGTTGACACCTTTGAACGGGCCCCGGCGCAGGACTTCTTGCTTAGCCCTTACCTGTTCCTTGATTCCGCATATTCAACCACTGGATTCACACACACACAGGCCTCACATTCTCAGCACTGCTCACGATATTTTGCTACCGAGTATCGGCTTCCATTCAACTCTCAAGATCTTTTTTTGTTTTTGTTATCACCGCTGCCGTGGCCGTCCTCTGGTCCTGTCCTCCGGGCGGCGCTCGCCGGTCACAGCAGTCACCTCTCCAGACAAGCGACCGCTCCAGACTGGTCTCTGTGTGACTGTGCTTGAACGGACGCCGCCCCTCCCTCGGCTCAGGGGCGCACAACGACCAGTAGGGGAGAGTGGGGCAAAGCGGCCACCCGGGGCAAAGCGGCCACCCATCGTTTTAGCCCTTCATAGCTGGCGTCAGTTCCAATTTATGGTTTCCAATTATACTTCTCTCCACGGTCGTTCGAATGAGCCAGACCGGGGTTTCAGGCCCATCACCATTGTTCTGTGAAACACGGAAAAGCATTTCTTGCCAGGTTACCAACTATGTTTACAATTTTTAAATGTTATGTTATTCCATAACCGTTTGGTATTTTTATAAGCGTTCTTGTCCATGCATTGCATGGTTATCGTACATGTATTCTACCAATTTTAATGTTTTTTACCCCACTAATAGTTAAGCTGGAATATTTTTGTCTCGGACGGTATGCGCGGGGCAAAGTGGCCGGGGCAAAGTGGCCACCCCCCAATTGGCCATAAGTTACTTCCATCTGGATAAAAAACATTATTAATATTCAAATGTGTCGTCATGCATTCATCTTGGCCACTTTTCAGTTGCAAGAGTTACCAAATAATGCAATTAAATGTTTATTTTCATGAAAGTTCTTTTTTTGTTTATCTACAGGTGGAAGATGATAAAGTAAACATCCATCCACGCTTAACCTTGTCAACATCAAATACCCTAGTCGTACACGAGGCAACTATTTTGTTTCTCATATCAGGACTTGAGAAGACGCCGGTGGCCACTTTGCCCCAGGGTATGGGGCAAAGTGGCCAATATGCATTGGTTTAAAGTTTTGTCAATATCTTTCATATGTGAACGCCTTTGAAAATAAAACGCAGTTGAAATAAAAGGCAACTTAATAGGGATCACATTGGTATAGAAAGAATCTTTCAAAGTTAAAAAATCAAGCGTTGGCATCGTGAGAAGCGTTAGGGTGGCCGCTTTGCCCCACTCTCCCCTACACTGAGCAGCGCGGCAGGCGACACCAGACCGGCGCAATGTTATCATAACATCCAAACATGACCCTGTGCGCAGGGACCCCGGCGACCCGGACGAGAGACACTCGGCTCAATCGACAGCTCGATCCTTGTCGTCAAGTGAGGAGAACTTGATGAACGACGAATGACGATGCAGTGTCAGGGCCTCTGTGGGCAATATAATGGGCGATGAAGTGATACCCATTGCAATACATACAGTGTACAGTAGGTATGTACAGTAGGTACAGCCGCAATACAGAGCTGTATGTACATACATGACTGGTGAGGTCGCTGAACTGTCGAGAATCGAGACTGAATATATGTAACATGGTCAGAGCTTGTACGACCGAGGCGACCTCTACTCGGAGTCGACGACTGCGCCGGCCGCCGCTGGGCAGTCAGTCTTCGTCAGTCTAGTCTCGGTCTCGGTCTCGGTCTCAGTCGCGGTCGGTCTTAGTCTTGGGCAGTCTCTGCCGAGTCTCGGCAGCCCACCGACGATTCGCGCTCGGTCACTCGCTATGTGACTCAGTCTCTCTTGCTCTCGGTCACTCTCCTGGACTGACTCTATCTCTCTATCTCTCGTCTGTCTCGAGTCAAGAAATACAGTGAGGTGCCGAACTGAACTCTTTTTATCAGAAGATTCCACGGCGAACATTTTTAATTTGTTACAATATAGCCGAACCGAACCATCCCGTTTCCGAAATTTGGTGAGAATGAGTATGGACCGAAATTCGCTACGGGCTGGGACAGGTACTGGCGAGCTGGGTCGATTGAACTGCAGTGGATAGGACTGGGACGAAAGACATTTTCTCCCATGCCTTGGCTTACCAGCAGAGAGCCGCTGTAGCAGGACGACAATATAGTGTGCTGCAACTGCCGCGGAAGGTTGTCCTGGCGAGCGGCGCTTCTGCCGGGCCGGCCATCAATCTTGCGGCGCTCTGTCACCGCGACAGTCGTGTCGCAAGCAGCGTACTTCTTTCTCCCTTTGAGTAGCCGACCGAACTTGAATTATTGACCACCGTATCCGTCCATCGCATCGATAGGGCGACCCCGTGTAGGTACTGCCGCAAAGTGCAATGACGAACGTTGGCGGTAGTGCTACAGGTAGTGAGGACGTCAAAGGCCTCAACATAATTTCTAAGTTTGCATTCCAATTCGGTTCAGGAGCTAGTTTAGCATAAGCAAAAAAAAACGTGTTTTCGGCTAACTCCACAATGTGTCAGCTATCGACACGGTTTATTGTACAGAACCTACCACGTAGCTTTATTCGTAGGCGCTTAACAAGCCTAATTAAATGATGCTTTTAGCCTGTGCCGTCCTAGGGGGGGGGGGCATTTTCACGCCACCCCTCTCAGGTTTTTCGCGAATATCTAAAAAAAAAAAGAACGGCGGTGCTGCGCGCCGCCGTTTTTGGTAGGTACACCACACACGTTTTTTTTCAGTCCTTTTGCGGGTTTAAGCGTTCATACATTTGATATGATGTTGGTCTCATGCATACCTACTGGTGGGTGTCAAGGTCACCTGAAGGTCAGGTCAGGTCATTAACCTTTGATGACCTCGGTTCACTTTTTCGAGCTTTACATGTTTCTAGGCTAATTGTCTCTATGACAGTTTTCCATGGCTACATGTTTCTAGGACAATTGCCGGCATTACCCTCAATTGTCTAACCTCAAAGAGGAAGGTGTTTGCCTTTTTGAGAAACTTATGCATACTCCCTAAGTACGAAGTACCTATTACGTGACATGACATAAGCGATAGTGCATGGGCGGCATTGCCCCGCGGGGGCGGCATTTCCCCAGAAAAAGCAGTGTTATGGGAAATCATTTGTTAGGTATATGTGCTTACTTATCCCAATGAATTGACTTAGTAGAAATCAAAAGACAGTTAATCCAGGTACATCATTGTAGTGTTCACCGCCGTCTCCGGATTCCGATGTATTCTCACAAACTCGCGGTGCAGAACACTAAGGCACTGCCGTGCTGTGCGGCCGGGCGGAGCCTCTCGACTGCTGGCTCTGACTGGAGCCGAGCAGGGTGCGGCCGCCTCACACTCGTATTACCGGGGGCCCGATGCCGAGCCTCGGACACCCGATGCACTAGGTACTCGATACACTACACATTCCCCCCTCTCGCAAAAAAAGGAACAGCATCACTGCGACACGTAGTAGTCCGGTCGTCTACAGACACGGTCGCTTCGCCTGGGACGCTGCACGCTCACATCGGCGGCGTCCGGCGACGGCTCGCAAGCTGTCTCGGTCGACGGGCGAGAAGCAGCGGCGAGCGAGGTCAGCGGGCCAGCGGCGTCGGCCTCGGAAGTCGTGGCGGTCGACGTGGTCTCGCCGGGCCCAGCGGGGGGAGATGCGGAGGGAGACGCCGGCGCGTATGGGAGACGGGCCAGATGGGCGGCGTTCCAGGTCCGGCCGTCAGCCAGACGGTACGTTGCGGGACCGACGCGCCCAGTGACTCGCACCGGAGACGTGAACCGACAGGACGTCTTCGAGCGGTGTCCCTGCCGTCTCACGCAGACGTAGTCGCCCTCAGTGATGCGCGGCGTCGTCACGCCACGGCGGCGGTCGTAGGACCTCTTGTTGGACTGCTGTCGGCGTCGAACTCGAGACGCCACACTGTCGGCTCCTGGTGTTGACGGCTGAATGACAGGCAGGTTCAGCCTCATCTGTCGTCCATGCAGGAGCTCTGACGGTGACTTCCCAGTTGTCGTGTGTGGGGTGGCTCGATACACCGCCAGGCTCTTGCGTACCTCGTCAATGAACGCTGCTGGTGGACAGTCTGTGATCCACGACTTGAACGTTTTGTTGAAGCGCTCTACGGCGGAGTTGCCTCTAGGCCAGTAGACGGACGATTTGGTGTGCTTCACCCCTCGGGCGGCCAGATACGCAGTGAACTCCCTGCTCGTGAACTGGGGCCCATTGTCCGTCACGATCTCGTCGGGATAGCCCTCTTTGGCCCACACAGTTGACAAGAACTTGATGACGTCTTCAGTCTCAGTCGATGACGTCAGGCAGACTTCCGCCCATTTGCTTCTGTAGTCAATCAGAGTGATGGCGTAACGGGCAGTCGCTGGTGCTCCGTTGATTGGACCAACGATATCCATTCCCAGTTTCGACCAGGCGCGGTCCGGCAGGTCGACTGGCTGCATGGGCGCAGGGCGCGCGCGCTGGGAGAGGACTGCGTCGCTGTGCTGGCAGCGCTCGCAACTTCGGCACAGCTCCTCCACCTCACGGTTGATGCCGGGCCACCACGCCAGATTCCGCAGCGCCTGTTTCATGCGGACGATTCCGTCGTGCGCGCTGTGCGCCAGCTCCAGGTATCTGCGGCGGAGCTGAACGGGCACAACAACTTGTTGGGCTCCTCTCAGGATGACGTCGTCGTTGCGCACCCACAACTCGTGTCTCATCTTGAAGTACGGCTGGACTTCA